TTCCTAGAACTTCCTTTACAGTTAAACTTTTCAAAATAAATCATCATCACAATCTAATATTTATTGAGCATTTACCAACTACAGTGTTACAGAGACTGGTACGATTGATCTTCCCATTTTACTGATGAGGAAACTGAAGCTCAGAACCATTATGTAACTCGCCCGAGGTTGCACAGATAAATGGTGAAGCTAACATTGGAATTCTGTGTGTGACTTCAAAGCACAGATGCTTAGAAATGGCTCTGCCACCTCTTGGCGTGCTGCTCTGACAGTTCTCATATCTCATCTTCAGGCTCTTCATTTGGGTATGGCTTCATTAAATCAAGGCAATTTGAATTCAAATTCAAAAATGTGAATATTCTCCTCCGTTTTTTTCTGAGTTGCTCTTTACCATCACCTTCTTTCACTAGCACTGGCCATTTGCTTCTGCATTAAACTCTCTTTCATCTTCCTGGAGAGTGTTTCATCATTCTTCTGTTGAAGATTCCTTCATTTCAAAAAAATCTTTTACCTTTGTTTTCTAGTCATTTTTTTTTTCTCTTCCTGCCTAAGAAAAAGGCTCTCAATCCACCAATACTCCTGTTCCCTATGCAAAAATAAGCCTGTGTGATTTAAATGTCCTAGGGAGCAATTCACAAACACGTTGAATAAATTTAGACACTAAATCAGCAACTTTTGGATGATTCTGCTGTGGTTAAAATTCATAAATAAGTAGCTCAGATCTTTAAATCCCACAGCATAAGTAGAATCAGTAAGTTATGCTGACTTTAGAAAAGTAATATAAAATAGGCAAATGGTTAAGGAAGGCTTCGCTAACCTTTTGATAGTCAGCACTTGGAGACAGCAGTTTATAGGTATTTTTGAGGAATCTTGCGTTAATCAATTGTACTTATTTTAACAATAGTGTGTTCAGTGTGTTCTTCTGATTCAATATAGGAACACAGTCTTGTAAGAATGAAGACCTTTTTCCTGGTCTCACCTACACTTATGTAAAATGTGAAAATGCTAGGGACTGAATATGGTGGCTGAGGTTAATTAGCCATGTTAGAAAACTCATAATGCAAGGGTATTTAGCCAACATGAAAGAAACGCTTTTGAGGTTAGGTTCCAATCTCTGTGGAAGTGACATCCGTTCTTTTAGCACAAACATTGTGAATGCAATGCCTGCTCCCTGTATGACGTATGGGGAACGTGCCCTCCCTCAAGCCCCCCAGATAAGTTAAACTGTGATTTCTGTAGGAGAATGAAAGGGGCTTTGGCTTCATTTCTCACTAACGGTTTTTCAAAATCCAGTGTTCGATGGTTACTGGTTTCCCATTTTTAGTGTGTGAAGATAGAACATAACTGAATGTAATAACCTAGCTGTCAGTCCCCTCATAAGTGTTACATCTTCTAAGATACTGAAATGGTCACAAATTTCTGTCCTTTAACAGGATGTCCTTTAACATCCATATTATTCTGAACATCTACAAGTACTTTTAAAATCTAGTGTTTACAACCTGGGGATATTCTTTTGAAACAACAAACTTGAATAATATTTTCACTGCTGTTATTAATGAAGCTTTATGTACATATGTCCACTACAAATTACATTCACTGTATATTATTCTCTTAGACTTTCATTATACATAGCTTTTTAAAATCAGAAGTTAGCTGATGAAACTAACCTGTTTATAGAGAATATTGAAAGGGCTTTTCCAAATGTGCATATTGTTAAACACAGATGTTCTTATAAATACTTTTCTCTGGAAATTAGAAAATATAACTTTCTAATAAGAGCATTACAAAACAAAATGTTGCGGCTAACCAGTAGCTTAGAAATCCAGAAATGATTCATGCCTTTCCAGCAGTTAAAATACATCTTAATAATTTGAAGGTCACTGGCTTCAGCAGGGTGCCAGCATATAAAAGCGTTTTAAACATGCAGTTTAAAACCCTTGGGATTAAACCAACCTTGTTGGCATGTTTTATTTATACAGAAATTATCACCAAAGGAGATTCATTGGTCTTTTGACTATAATGAAGCCCTTTCTTTATTGACGTCATTGTGTCATAAATGAAAAGATATTTCTTTTTATGGCAGGAAATAAAATGTTCCAATCTCCACAACACTCCTTGCATCCTAAGAGTCTGGACAAAAATCTATTTGTTGTGTCCTAACTCAGGAGCTAAAACCTCGATAAGGTTCTTCAATTTCATATTTGCTTTATCTTCCTGAGTTGACACAGAGGTATTACCAGGCACACAGAGAGGCCTGCATGTGGCCTTGGAGGCTGAGAGGGCAGACAAGCAGGGGACTGAGTTCCCAAAACTGAGGTCTGTCCATTAGAGGGGTGGTTAATGGTAGCTGATAACAGCCCAGCTGTGGGACGCGTGGTAGTGGGGGAAGGTCTGAGCAGAACTGGCTTCAGCCACATATTGTGCTGTGACTTTATGGGTTCTCCTCGTGTACGGGAAGAATTGGTTGGAATTTAGAATATGGTTGAGGTAACTGCTATGGGTTAAATGAAATTTATAGAGATTGGTCACAGAGTGCGTGACTTAAGGGCCTCAGAATCTTAATGGTAATTGTATGTGTACCCACACATTGGCAGAGGGAGCAAGCNCTGGGTGAGCTGTGTGCGCTTGGCTTCTTCCAGAAAAAGAATCTACAATAGTTTATCCTTTCCAAATCCCTTGACATTAACAGTACCTTGGCCAGTGACGATTCTTTTTTACTTGCAGCTTTATATTTTAGAAATGTAATAGACATAGTAATTTTGGTCTCAAAATAACAAAATAGACTATTCCTTTAGTCCCCTCCCCCCCCATTAGTTAAACTCTGACCTGGTAAGGGGTGCTGTTTGTTTCAGTGTTGTAGAGCTCTTCTTCGGGCTACTAAATATTTGCATGGTCCAATATTTCAGCAAAAGTAGTATTTTCTTAGCTATGACACTGGGCAATTAAAGTTCTAGCTCATTCGTGAAGTCCATAGCCTGTGTTTTAACTTAAATGTTGCATTTGAGAAATCTGGGCAAGTGGGGGTGGGAAGGCAGGAGGAATGGAGGAATTCAAGAATAGAAAACTTGATGACCAATTTAGAAACAGAAGCTATTACCTCAGGCATCAAAATCAGGTTTTTCATGGTGGATTTCCATCATTTCCCATTCAGTAGAAAGTTTGGTTACCGCCAGAACCCTAAAGCATTTTGTGCGTTTCATATCTTTGTAGCTTAAGTCAGACTGACTGGTGTTCTTTCCAAATTTAGTAAAAGGCCACTAAACAACAAGTGATAACAACTGTTTTTATTATTTATATTACAAATGCCAGGCAGTTCCTAGGAAAATCTCATCATTCAGTGCTCCCCGAGGGCAGCTGAGAGTGGGAGTGATTTCTGTTCAGAACCCCTAATGGTACGTACGGAGCAGCACTCCAGACTGCTTCTAGAGCAGTGCCCACATGTGCCATTGGTTAGAGCTTCTTTCCATCAGAAAATAGGCACTGCTTAAAGAAAAATGCCTCACACTGTGACATGCGACCATTTCTAATTGTGTGCGGTTATAATAGCTCCGTACAAAGCTAAGGTGGAATAATCTGTGGGACTTGGAGGTCTCCCCACTCCCGCTGACATCTCCTTTGCTTTCGAGAGTTGTTAGATTTTTCCAGCCTAC